GGCTGTAGATGCTCAGTGCTCAGAACTAAGCAGCTGGGTGTTGCTTTACTTCAGAGTAAACCTGATTCTGTGCTGCAGAGAGAACGGTGACGTGGGAAGGTGCTTAGGGACAAAAGAAGAGCCTCCTGTGAGGTCTAGTGCTTAATTCATTGACTTGAGCAATTGCTTACTGACAGTCTGTTAACCAATCTATATGCCTGATCTCCCCTGCTCTGTAGCATTTGAAGTAGCTTGTTATATAGCACAGTTTGTGTTACTAGAAGAAATGGAATCTGTTACTGTCTGCATATGGATCTAGGGCTGGCTGTTAATTTGTGTTGGCCAGTAACTAATTTGGAAGAGGTATCACGAGGCTTTTCCAGGAACAAAAATTAATTGAGACGGGTATAGAACTGAACACAGTGCACAGAGCAGGTGGCATTACTGGCACCTATTCTTTGCGCTATCGTCTCTGTGCAGTGTGTTCAGGAAGCTGATAAGAGAAAGCAGGAAACATGCAGAGTAGTGTCTTGTTCTCAGGCTCTGGCCTCTTCCCCCAGGGTCACAGATGCTTTATTCGTTTATCTTGTAGGCATAATCGTATGGAGGAGTACATTCTGGTGCTGATACCTTGTACCACGCTGTGTTAGCTGGGCTGGGTTTCAGCTGACTAACAAGTGGGATAACTGTTTGCGTTAAGGAAGGGTTTTTTAGAAAAACAGCTCCTTGAACATTAGTGATATAAAGAATTTGAAAGAATGAAAAAACCAACCCTCAATACAAAGCTATCTAATTTGTAAACTAATTTTTGATCTTTGTGAGAACACACAGAAATGTGAATACATTTTCATAATTAACGTTCACAATGAGAATATTGTTTCATTAATTTTTCCGTCTTTTGGGGGAGGAAACAGCTCACTTTACAAGAGCAGAGACATCCGTGATCACTTGAGGCTGTACTAATTTGCTGATGGCTAAAAGTATAGCTCATGAAATACTGGCTTTCAGTCAGTTGCTGCAACAGCAGGGTTGTGCATCTCCTACTTCCAACCTTTGCGGTAAGATTACCCGAAAGGAGGCATAGGCTGCATTTCTCAGTCATACTTTTAGATGTATTAGGTAGTAGCTATTTAAAGTTTCTTCTCTGGTGTACGTATGAAACATCCAAGGGGAAAAAAAACTAGTGAACTAGGAATTGTAGGATTTTAAGGTTTAATACTTTAGTATTCTTACTAGTGGATTATGTTAAAAGGATAAGCTACAAGTATTATTTTCTGATTTATCTGAAATGAAATGAAGAGGTAGACAAATAGTTGGAAATCGAAAGGGTAGGATTCGTTTGTATTGTGACTTTATAAAAACAAGTATCTTGGACATACATGTATGAAAGTTTTTCACTTAACTCTGCTATGTTTGATTCCTGACTGCCAAAAACTTTCACTAGATTTTGAAGAGGAAAACAACATGAAGACCTAAGCTTGGAGTCTTGCTACAACACTTTGTAAGAGTTACATGGTTTTCATTCACAGTTTGGAAATAGCTCTTAAGAGAGAAAGAAATTACTCTAGAAGGCAAACTTGATAAGCCTTATGGCTTTGGTATTAGAGATAATCTTATACCAACTTTCAACTCTTACAGCTATTGTCTTCCATGGTCAAACGTATTATGCTGGTTTCTTCTCTCACTTCCTACTCACAAGAAAATTGTGGACTCTTAGTTATTCTCCATTTATTTTTATTTATTCTCCAAGTGGTATGAGTGGTTTTATTTAGCTTCCTCCCATGCTGGTCAGTTACCCTAGCAATTGTAAACTGAGCGTATGAACTATCACTGTAGATTATGTTTTCATCTCACAAGAGGCAAAACACTGCAGGTGTCCAAATATGAGTGTCAGAAGATAAGCATATGCATACCTCAGCCTTGAGGAATCCTGGAAGTAACATTTTTGCTCTTATGATGAGTGTCTGCTATGTAGAAGGATTTTTTTCCTTCCTATCTTGCAGCTATGTTTCTTCAGTGTTAGGTCAATTCATAAACAGTTTCAAGACCAAATACCATTGATTTAGGGGGAAAGTGGGAAGAATGCAGTGAGTTTCCATAGAACTTCTTGCTGTCTGGCAGTGGAGTTGTTCAGGAAGCTAGGAGCAAGCTATGGGAATGCAAAGCTTGTCTGTCTGCTGTTAGAACTGCTAGATTCAGTGGCAGAGCTTGTGTTTTCATTGTCTGATGTCGGATGCAACTTCAGACACTTTCTGGTTTAGAGTGTTACTACTAACTCATTTGTGTCCAATAATGGACTGCTAGTTCCTTAGTGAGCTAACATAAATAGGACGAAGTTGAGGGGATAATAGTTTCATAGCTAATAGTACATGAAGTAGCTCTTCATGCAATTGCTACGTCTCCATGTAATTAATCTCAGATTTCAACATGGCATTATCTTTCATAGGGTTTTATTAATATTGTCGTAGTCAAGCCCAGGGTGAATTTAGAATAGCATACATGAGCTTCAGTCCTGTCATGACTGTCGGCTTCCAGTAGTATGTTACCTTCCAAACTGTACCACCAAGAAATACTAGCTTGGCAGTTGGAAGTGCTGACTGTTGTCTCCTTCCTTTTCCTTTTTCAGTCTCACTGCTGGTTTGTTTTTCAATGGCTTCTCCAAAGGCTTGCGGTTCTAGTAGCTCAGGACAACATTCTGGCAGTAGTGAATAAAACACAAAACTCACTATCTGACCTGATAAAATATGCATTCTTTCTTCAGATTTTGGATGCTTTCTTGACATGAAGGTAGTAGTGCAATGTGTTTGCAAACATCTGTTCAAATATAAGAGCCTTATTATCCATTAAAGACCTATTTTATAAACAAATCCTGCTTATGCATGTTTGAGAATATTATTGTCATGCCCTTGCCTCAAAAGCAAATAAAATGTTATTGTCTTGTGTAGTGTTGGCTGCAGTATGGCTCTTGGGTGACTCAAATACAGCTTCTGAACTAGGGTTACATCATAGGGCTGGCAGTTGTGCTTATGCTGCTTTGTGAATTCCTGGGCACCCTGAGCCCACAGCTGCGAAGGGAAGCAGGACACCATGGCTGCTGAAAAAGAAATCTTCAGGTTGCTCTGGGAATACAGCTGCATTTCCAGCCCAGTCCTGCAATTACAATGGGATTCTTGGGGAGCTGTTGTAGTCATAGGGTGGGGATATGATATCCCTTTCGCTGTCCAAGATGAGACATGTTTTATGGCTCCAAGTTGCCGGCGGTACTTGACCGTGTGGCACCCAGAAAGGCTGGCTGAGCCTGCAACAATTACAGTCATCCAGATATCACTTGTTCAGTGCAACTATATACTTGAAAATTCATTCTGTTTCTGAATATTAAGTAAATGTGGGATCTTAACCCAAAGAACCAGCTTGATGTCGTCTTCCTGTGCATAATCTAACTCAGTGGAAACAGATCATTTCCTCCCTGTCCCTCCTTTACTGGTCCTTAGCTGTGCAAATCAGCTTGAAGGGCATTCCCAAATTCAAACTTGGGACTGAGCTACCCTAAATAAATGTCATGAAAGGAGCTTAAGCTTGGGAATGAAAAGGTAAGTTACTGATTATATAGTGAAATTGGACTACTGCAAACTGAGCTGTTAGAGGCCTGGTGTGAGAATGACTGTGTGGGGTTTTGTTTTGGGTCTTTTTTTTTTTAGGCAAAAACTAACCTGTGTTGATGGCTACTTGGAAAAAACCTCCTAGAGCATAGTCTTAGGCTGGGGAGATATGTTAGGTGCTAAAGACCAGACCTGCTGAAGTATTCCTCGAACCTGAAGTACTTTGGCTGTAAGGGATTAGGTGTCTTGATTTCAACTCTCCCTCAGAGGTGTGTGCACTTCCTGCAAAGAACTGTGAACAGCATCCATTCCCTAGCTAGCAGCTGGGTGAATCTGCATGAATTTGCCCTTTCAGGAGCAGTTACTGGTGTTACATCTTCAAAAATATTGATCTTGTA